GTTTCTCCCCATTGCTGGGAATCCTGCCATTAACCCTGTATTCTGCATTCAAATTCAACCTTCCAAAATTAATCACTTCACACTTTTCAGGGTTGAATTCCATCTGCCACTTCTTTGCCCAGCTCTACATCCAGTCAATATCCTGTTACAACCTACAACAGCCCTCCACACTGCCCACAACTCCACCAACCTTCATGTCATCGGCAAACTTACTAACCCATCCTTCCACTTCCTCATCCAAGTCATTTATAAAAATCACAAAGAGCAGAGGTCCCAAAACAGATCCCTGTGGAACTCCACTGGTCACCGAGCTCCAGGCTGAATACTTTCCATCTACTTTCCTCACCCTCTGTCTTCTATTGGACAGCCAGTTTTGTACCCAGACAGCCAAATTTTCCTGAATCCCATGCCTCCTTACTTTCTCAATGAGCCTACCATGTAGAACCTTATCGAATGCCTTGCTAAAATCCATATACGCCACATCCACTGCTCCACCTTCATCAATGTGTTTTGTCGCATCCTCAAAGAATTCAATAAGGCTTGTGAGGCATGATCTGCCCCTCACAAAGCCATTCTGACTATTTCTAATCAAACTGTGATTTTCCAAATAATCATAAATATTATCTCTCAGAATCCTCTCCAGTAGTTTGCCCACCACAGAAGTAAGACTGACTGGTCTGTAATTTCCAGGATTATCCCTATTCCCTTTGTTGAACAGGGGAATGACATTTGCCACCCTCCAATCTTCTGGCACTACTCCAGTGGACAGTGAGGACGCAAAGATCATTGCCAAAGGGGCAGCAATCTCTTCCCTTGCTTCCCATAGCAACCTTGGGTATATCCCGTCTGGCCCAGGGGACTTATCTATCCTTATGTTTTTCAAAATTTCCAGCACATCCTCCTTCTTAACAACAACCAGTTCGAGCATGTCTGCCTATTTCCTGCTGTCCTCACAAACATCAAGGTCCCTCTCACTGGTGAATACTGAAGTAAAGTATTCATTAAGGACCTCCCCTACCTCCTCTGACTCCACACACAAGTTCCCTCCACTATCCCTGAAACGCTCTACCCTCACTCTGGCCATCTTCTTGTTCCTCACATAAGTATAGAACACCTTGGGGTTTTCCTTCATCCTACCCACCAAGGTTTTCTCATAACCCCTTCTAGCTCTCCTAAATCCATTCTTCAGTTCCGTCCTGGTTACCTTATAGACCTCTAGAGCCCTGTCCGATCCTTGCTTCCTCAACCTTAAGTAAGCTTCTGTCTTCCTCTTGACTAGGTGTTAAACATGTCTTGTCATCCAAGGTTCCATCACCTTACCATCCTTTCCTTGCCTCAGTGGGACAGACCTATCCAGTACTTGTAGCAACTGCTCCCTGAACAACCTCCACATTTCTATCGTGCATTTCCCTGAGAACATCTGATCCCAATTTATGCTCCGTACTTCTTGTCTAATAGCATTGTAATTCCCCCTCCCCCAATTAAATACTTCCCCATACCGTCTGCTCCTATCCCTCTCCATTACTATAGTAAAGGTCAGGGAGTTGTGATCACTATCACCGAAATGCTCTCCCACCAAGAGATCTGACACCTGACCTGTAATGTAGCCTTATGAGAAGAGGTTGAGTCAGTTGAGCCTGTATTTATTAGATTTCAGAAGAATGAGAGACAACTTTATTGAACTACAGAGTCTACAGAGTCAGTTTGGGTTGAGGTCAGGAACAAGAAAGGAGCAGTCACTTTGTTGGGGGTTTTTTACAGACCTCCTAATAGTTGCAGAGAAGTAGAGGAGCGGATTGGGAGGCAGATACTGGAAAGGTGCAGAAGTCACAGGATTGTAGTCATGGGTGACTTCAACTTTCCAAATATTGGTTGGAAACATTTTAGTTGTAATAGTTTAGATGGAGCAGATTTTGTCCAGTGCGTTTACGAAGGATTCCTGACACAGTATGTAGATAGACCAACACGAGGAGAGGCCACTTGGGATTTGGCAACGAACAGGGCCAAGTGTTGGACCTGTTGGTAGGAGAGCATTTTGGCGGTAGCGATCATAACTCTGTTTCTTTCACGATAGTCATGGATAAGGATAGGTACATACAGCAGGGTAAAGTTTACAATTGGGAGAAGGGTAATTACAATTTGGTTAGGCAAGAACTGGGTAACATAAATTGGGAACAGATGCTGTCAGGGAAGAGCACCACAGAAACGTGGAGATTGTTTAAGGAATGCATACTGCATGTGCTCGATATGTTTGTCCCTAGCAGGCAGAGAAGATGCGGTCGAGTGAGGGAGCCACGGTTCTCGAGAGAGGTCGAACGACTGGTTAAGAGGAAGAAGGATGCTTATGTAAGGTTTAGGAAAAGAGGAACAGTAAAGGCTCTAGAGGAATACAAGTTAGCCAGGAAGGAGCTGAAGAAAGGGCTTAGGAGAGCTATAAGAGGGCATAAGAAAACCTTGGCGGATAGGATCAAGGAAAACTCCAAGGCTTTTTACACGTATGTGCAGAACAAGAGAATGACCAGAAAACGGGTAGGGCCGATCAAGGATTGTAAAGGGAATTTGTGCACAGAGTCTAAAGAGATAGGAGAAGTCCTTAATGAATACCTTTCTTCAGTATTCACAACTGAGAGGGATCTAGTTGTAGAGGAGGACGTTGTGAAACAGGCAGGTAGGCTAGAGGAGATTGATGTTAGTAAAGAAGATGTGCTAGGAATTCTGAGGAAGTTGAAGATAGATAAGTCCCCCGGGCCCAGTGGGATTTATCCAAGGATTCTATGGGACGCGAGGGACGAGATCGCAGGGCCTTTGACGATGATCTTTTCGTCCTCACTGTCCATGGGTATAGTGCCGGAAGATTGGAAAGAGGCAAAGGTCATTCCCTTGTTCAAAAAAGGGAACAGGGATAACCCCGGAAATTACAGACCAGTTAGTCTTACGTCAGTGGTGGGCAAATTATTGGAAAGGGCTCTGAGAGACAGGATTTACGATCACTTGGAAAGGCACAGTTTGATTCATGATAGTCAGCATGGATTTGTGAGGAGTAGATCATGCCTCACAAACCTTATTGAATTCTTTGAAGAGGTGACCAAACATGTGGATGAAGGTGGAGCAGTGGATGTGGTATACATGGATTTAAGTAAGGTGTTTGATAAGGTTCCCCATGGTAGGCTCATGCAGAAAGTAAGGAGGCATGGGTTAGGGGGAAATGTGGCAGAATGGATTCAGAATTGGCTGGCCCTTAGAAGACAAAGGGTGGTAGAGTACGGAAAATATTCAACATGGTGCTCAGTTACGAGTGGTGTACCGCAAGGATCTGTTCTGGATCCTTTTCTACTGGTGATTTTTGTAAATGATTTGGATGAAGGAGTGGAAGGGTGGATTAGCAAGTTCACGGACGATATGAAGGTGGGTCACGTTGTGGACAGTGCAGAGGGACATTGATAAGATGCAGAGCTGGGCTGAGAAGTGGCAGATGGAGTTTAACCCTGAAAAGTGTGAGGTGATTCATTTTGGAAGGACAAACTTGAAAGCAGAATACAGGGTTAACGGAAAGATTCTTGGCAGTGTGAAAGAGCAGAGGGATCTTGGGGTTCATGTTCTCAGTTCCCTGAGAGCTGCCACCCAGGTGGATAGAGTTGTTAAGAAGGTGTATGGTGTGTTAGGTTTCATTAATAGAGGGATTGAGTTCAAGAGCTGTGAAGTTACGCTCCAGCTATACCAAAGCCTGGTTCGGCCACGTCTGGAGTATTATGTCCAGTTCTGGTCACCTCATTACAGGAAAGATGTGGAAGTGTTAGAAAAGGTGCAGAGGAGTTTTACCAGGATGTTGCCTGGAATGGAGGGAAGGTCTTACGAGGAAAGGTTGAGAGAGATGGGGCTTTTCTCTTTAGATTGACGAAAGATGAGAGGTGATTTGATAGAGGTGTGCAAAATGATCAGAGGTATAGATCGAGTAGACAGCCAGAGACTTTTTCCTGGGGTGGAGGTAGCTTTTACGAGGGGACGTAGTTTTAAAGTGAAAGGAGGTAGATATCGGGGAGACGTCAGAAGTAGGTTCTTTACTCAGAGAGTCGTCGGGGCGTGGAATGCATTGCCAGAGAGGGTAGTGGAGCCGGCCTCATTAGGGACATTTAAGCGGCTATTAGATAGGCATATAGATGATAGCGTAAGGTAGCGGTGGAGGTTAGATAGACCTTAGGTTTAGGGTAAAAGTTCAGCACAACATCGTGGGCCGAAGGGCCTGTACTGTGCTGTACTGTTCTATGTTCTAACTAAACAATTCTTAGGGGATTTGATAGTGTTAATGCGAGGAGGTTATTTCTCCTTGTGGAAGACACTAGGAATAGAGGGCACAATCTCAGAATAAGGGGTTATTCTTTTCAGACAGATGAAGAAGTTCTTCACTCAGAGGGCATTAAATCTCTGGGGGTGTTTACCACAGAGGGCTGTCTATGCTCGGTCATTAAGTATCTTGTATATTGAATGCTGAGATAGACAGATTTTTAATCATTGAGGGAATCAAGGGTTGTGGCAAAATGATAGCAAAGTGGAATTGAGGATTATCAAATCAGCCATGGTCTTATTAAATGGCAGTATAGACTCACTAAACTACTTCTGAAGGAATGAGCTACATCTGCTCCTGTGTCTTGTTGTCTTCATTTCATTTTTTTAATAAGCTTCTGTTTTATTGTTAAAGCCAAATCTGTAGCATTGTACACTTACAGTTCAACAAGAGACCAGTATGTTAAAATCAAAACAGAGCAAAATATGATCCATCGAGCCAGGTTTCTCCCTGAGATCTGATTTGTCCAGTAATGAAATCAGCTGGGATCATTACAGAGTAATGATGAACAGGGCAGTAGAGTACAGGACCAGTTGCAACAAGTGATCTGAATTTTAGTTCTTGTGCATTACAAAACTTAAGTTGAAGACAGTCTTCTGTCTGAACTGGGAACATTTATTACATTCTGTGTAATTTAAATTTTCTGTTTCACATTCAGGTCTTTGAACATTGGAAATAAATTTGGTTATAAAGTGGAATTTACTGGTGTAGGAAAAGGACCTGTAGGGACAGAACAATTGGGATTCTGCACACAAGTATCTATATTTCTGAGGCAGCTATCAAAAGCACCTCAAACTGAGACTAAAAATTCCGAAATGCTATATAAACTGGTGAGTGATGAGAAATCAGTGTCTAAATTTTCTATTTAATGTGAAGTGGCGGTCACCCAGATGTATAAATCACTTTGTTCGATAGGATTTTTCTTTAAATCTGATGCTCATTCATAGCCCTGTTTATCAATTTCATGTTTGTCAATTCTGCAGTAGTCTACCTATTCACTGGAAAAGTAAGATAGGTAAAGGTACCCTAGATAAAGAGTTCAAAGAATGCTTTCTTAGACCAACATGTTCTGATGCTTACCGGACAACAAGCTATACTGTTAGAGATATATAAGATTGAGGGCTATGGACCGGTAAATTGAAAGCAGCTTTACCTTTAGTCAAAAGGTCAATAAAAGTGGCATAGTTTTAAAGTGAAAAGCAAGAGGTTGAGAGGGGATTTGAGGAAAAGCGTTTTCACCCAGTGGGTAATGGAGGTCTGGAAGGCGCTGCCTGGGAGAGTAGATAAGGTGGGAAACCTCTACACTTTTAAAAAGACTTGGATGCGTACTTGAAATGCCATAACTTTCAGGATATAGGCCTAGTGTGGGAAAGTGAGACTAGTGTAGGTATAAGTCTTTTCTTCTGTGGTACAGACTCAATAGGCCAAAGGACTTGTTCTGTACTGTATGATTCTATGATACTAAACCTGGTATGAAAATGGAAGTTGCTGGAGAAACTGAGCAGGTTTGGCATCATTTGTGGAGGGAAAGCAAAATTAATATTTCATGGCAAGTGACCCTGTTCAGAATTGATTATGGCAAGGCAAAGGTTGGTATATATGCTGAAGATGGGGTGGGGTTAGGGGGAGGAGTAAACAATAGATGGAGATGGAGCTCAGAAAGAGAGTAAAACGGATGGGCAGACAAAGGAACGGTAAAAGATCTGCTGGATAGAGGAACTGTCCTTTGGATTGGAAAATTATATGTATCACTCCACTTTTTAAGAACGATTTTTTTTTAATTTGTCTGTTTGGGAATTCAGAACAGTGGGAATGGATGTTAGGGCAGTTGTATGCTCCTCCTGTAGAATGTGGGAGGTAAGGGTCACCACTAGTGTTCCCACTGACTTCATCTGCGGGAAGTGCACCCAACTCCAGCTCCTCGGAAACCGTGTTAGGGAACTGGAGCTGGAGCTGGATGAACTTCGGATCATTCGGGAGGCTGAGGGGGTAATTGAGAGGAGTTACGGGGAGGTAGTCACACCTCAGGTACAGGAAAAAAGTAGATGGGTTACAGTCAGGGGACGGAAAGGGAACAGGCAGACAGTGCAGGGATCCCCTGTGGCCATTCCCCTCAAAAACAAGTATACCGTTTTGGATACTGTTGGGGGGGACGACTTACCAGGGGTAAGCCATGGGGTACAGGTCTCTGGCACAGAGTCTGTCCCTGTTGCTCAGAAGGGAAGGGGGGAGAGGAGGAGAGCATTCGTCATTGGGGACTCCATAGTTAGGGGGACAGATAGGAGATTCTGTGGGAACGAGAGAGACTCGCAGTTGGTGTGTTGCCTCCCAGGTGCCAGGGTCCGTGATGTCTCGGATCGTGTTTTCGGGATCCTTAAGGGGGAGGGGGAGCAGCCCCAAGTCGTGGTCCACATAGGCACCAACGACATAGGTAGGAAAAGGGATGGGGACGTAAGGCAGAAATTCAAGGAGCTAGGGTGGAAGCTTAGAGCGAGAACAAACAGAGTTGTTACCTCGCGAGGCGAGGAATAGGGAGAGAGAGCAGTTGAACACGTGGCTACAGGGATGGTGCAGGAGGGAGGGATTCAGATACCTGGATAATTGGGGCTCATTCTGGGGTAGGTGGGACCTCTACAAATGGGATGGTCTACACCTGAACCAGAGGGGTACCAATATCCTGGGGGGGAAATTTGCTAATGCTCTTCGGGAGGGTTTAAACTAATTCAACAGGGGGGTGGGAACCTGAATTGTCGCTCCGGTGTACAGGAGGTTGAGAGTAGTGAGGTCATAAATAAGGTTTCAAGGTTGCAGGAGTGTACCGGCAGGCAGGAAGGTGGTTTGAAGTGTGTCTACTTCAATGCCAGGAGCATCCGGAATAAGGTGGGTGAACTTGCAGCATGGGTTGGTACCTGGGACTTCGATGTTGTGGCCATTTCGGAGACATGGATAGAGCAGGGACAGGAATGGTTGTTGCAGGTTCCGGGGTTTAGATGTTTCAGTAAGATCAGGGAAGGTGGTAAAAGAGGGGGAGGTGTGGCATTGTTAGTCAAGGACAGTATTAAGGTGGCAGAAAGGACATTTGATGACAACTTGTCTACTGAGGTAGTATGGGCTGAGGTTAGAACCAGGAAAGGAGAGGTCACCCTGTTGGGAGTTTTCTATAGGCCTCCAAAAAGTTCCAGAGATGTAGAGGAAAAGATTGCAAAGATGATTCTGGATAGGAGCGAAAGTAACAGGGTAGTTGTTATGGGGGACTTTAACTTTCCAAATATTGACTGGAAACGCTATAGTTTGAGTACTTCAGATGGGTCAGTTTTTGTCCAATGTGTGCAGGAGGGTTTCCTGACACAGTATGTAGACAGGCCAACAAGAGGCGAGGCCACATTGGATTTGGTACTGGGTAATGAACGAGGCCAGGTGTTAGATTTGGAGGTAGGTGAGCACTTTGGTGATAGTGACCACAATTCGGTTACGTTTACTTTAGCGATGGAAAGGGATCGGTATATAACGCAGGGCAAGAGTTATAGCTGGGGGAAAGGCAACTATGAGGCGATGAGGCAAGATTTAGGATGCATAGGATGGAGAAGGAAACTGCAGGGGCTGGGCACAATTGAAATGTGGAGCTTGTTCAAGGAACAGCTACTGCGTGTCCTTGAGAAGTATGTACCTGTCAGGCAGGGAGGAAGTGGTCGAGCGAGGGAACCGTGGTTTACTAAAGAAGTTGAATCTCTTGTCAAGAGGAAGAAGGAGGCTTATGTAGAGATGAGGCGTGAAGGCTCAGTGAGGGCGCTTGAGAGTTACAAGTTAGCCGGGAAGGACCTAAAGAGAGAGCTAAGAAGAGCCAGGAGGGGACATGAGAAGTCTTTAGCAGGCAGGATCAAGGAAAACCCTAAAGCTTTCTACAGGTATGTCAGGAATAAAAGAATGACTAGAGTAAGATTGGGGCCGGTCAAGGACAGTAGTGGGAAGTTGTGCGTG